AGTTCGGTTAGCACTGCGAAGTAAATGAAAGTTCAATGAGCAGTCCGTGACCATAGTATAAGTTTAGTGATTTTTGAAACAATTAACTCAGATAATTCCTACCAATTCAATAATAAAGAAAACAAAAAAGGCCACCCATGAGTAAATATTTCATAGTAGCCTCATTAGACCATACATCTTTCTTGGTATATCAGATAATAGATAGGATCATAAACTAAAACATTCTGGAGCTTGTTTCAAGGTCAATCAATTCGATCCCCCGATTACATATTTTTAATAAATAAATGGAAAAAAAACATTTTTTTTCTCATTTTAAAGTATTGAAATAAAACATTTTGATATAAATTATCATAAAAAAACGTGACATAATAATTTATTGAAGGTTGAAAGACAAAATTTTCACAAAAAAAATTAAGGAGATAATTGCTAAAATAAGCAAAAGATGAGATACTTAACTCCAAGGATAAAGCTGTGTGTACATCAGCTTTACACCCCCTCACATGAAGGGGGGTCTATGAATATTTTATTACATGTAGACCCCCTCCATATGAGGAGGGTGTAAGGTTTTGTATAACTCTAATTAAAATGTGGTGTATTAAACAAAAATTGTGATGACAACATAACCACTTTTTTTATTTTCTTCAATCTGGTCGAAGGCCTCTTCTCCGAATATACATGGTGAGGGTGGCAATTTGAAGTAATCCGCCTACAAAATTGCTTAGGCAAAGAAAAAGAGGGCTCCATTCACTTCGGATTCGGAGAAGTACTTTCTGTGTCAATTCTCGAAACAGAAAGTTAGCCTATTTTGCTTGTTGGCCCAAATTCGCCTGAGCCCATCCATATAACTAAAATGGTGTGTTCTTACCACTCCCAAGAAACCTAAATCCTAAAAATATTTTAGTACTTTTTTCTTGAGAGAATCCAATCGTTTTACTGAATCATCGTCCAAGGTTCAACATATATGATTTATAGATGTAATCAGCAATACTTCAAGATAATGGCTATGTATTTATGCAAAAGTAACCCTTCATTTCTTTACAAATCCCATTTTTCTTTCTCATTTTCTCTCCTTTTTTCCTCTTCCTCGACCGAAAAGAAAGTGAAAAATGATCTTACAGTGTGTGATTTCTTGCTACGCAAACACCAATTTTCTCCTGAAACAGCTTCACAAGTTGCCTCTGTTTTAAACCGTATAAAGAATCCAGAAAAATCTGATTCAATATGATCATTCCTCAAGGAGAGTGGTTTTTCAAAGAGTCAGTTGGAGAAAGTCGTGAAAACTAAGCCTGGTTTGCTTGCTGCAAGTCTTGAGAATACCATCATGCCCAAATTCAAGATTTTCCAAGATTTGGGCTTTTCTGCCGAAGACATTGCTGAGATTATCTCAAGCGATCCAGCAAATTTGCATCGAAGTGCAGATAGTAGGGTCAGACCGTCATTATCGATTTTGAAAGATTATTGGGATCTAGTGCAGAGGCAACTAAGATTAGAGTTTGATGGATTTTAAAACTCCATATAAATTGATGTATCTTCAATTCAGATTTAAATATAATTTATTAAAATATAGTTGTCCCCAATCTAGATTTTTAAAAATATTTATAAATTTAGGTGTCCTCAACATAGATTTTAGTAGATAGTTTTGAAATTTAGATGTCCTCAATAACTAGTTGATTTTAAAAAATTTCATTAAGTAGATAGATTTTGAAGAATTTCAAGGTAAAAATATAAGTACAAAGAATCAGTAGCAATTTTAACCCAAAGCTAAAAATTTCACAACATTTCTCACCTCTCTCCATATTTGCCGCCCTCTCTCTCTCTCCTCCCCCCCATCTTTAACAAGATTTTTTTCTTCTTTCTATCTCACATTTCTCTACTGTGAAAAGATCGTGTATGCGAACTTTTCAATTGATGATAATTTATGAAAGATTACTATTTTTTGTTGAATATTGGGTGTGATTTTTTATTGAACTTATTTTTTCTTATTGAAACTATATATTGTTTACTATTTTATAGATGTGCTGGAAATTATCATGGTAACTTACGATTTCTAGTCTGCATACTGAAAAAATTTCGTCTTTCAAGTTCTGTACCCTATTCCTTTTTCTTGGGAAGAGCTGTGTGTTTTTTATATATACCTGCAAATCCTAGCCAAAACATGTGAGGATGGTATCCCACAATTTTTTTTTTGTATCTACATGGTCAATGAGAATTCTAGGGGTATGGAATTAATTGCCTTCTGGTCATGTATGTGTACATCTGTGTGTTTGTATCTCATAAGGTTTTGGCCTTTTGAACTAATTGATATTGATTACGACTTTGATTATTTAACACTACATATTTTTGTCCTCTCCCACTCCCGCATTTTGTTGAATATTGGGTGTGTTTTTTTATTGAAGCTCTATTATAATATTCAATGTTTAACAAACAATTGAACAAGGATTTGATCATTTTCTGTGATTTATTAACGTGCATATGTGTAAGAATGAGTCGTTAAAAAAGAAGTAAAAATTTGTGGCTTATGTTAAGCATATTTATAAATTTTACCCAGAATCTATAAAATCCATTGAAATCTATAAAATCCATGAAAATCTTTTAAAATCTACAAAATAGAAATCCATTCAAATCTTATAAAATCTATTAAATTCTACCAAATTTCACACAATCCATGAGAATTATAAATATTAAAAAATCTATTAAACTCTGAAATGGGGACACCCCCGTTGGAGAAGACTGTGGTACCTAATATTGAATTTTTAAAGAGTTGTGGTGTGGGCATGGAGCAGCTGCTGTGCCAGAATTCTTTCTGCCAGGCCTTTTACAGGCTGTGACTCAAAACATGGGGGTGGGGCCGGTGGGCATTTTTTTGGGCATTATTTTTCTAAGCTGGGGACCACCTCTTCACTCACCTGTAAAACATCTGATAGAAGATTGGCCTGGTAGAAGAGAATAACCCAATTTTCGAAGGTTTCTCATGTGTTATCCAGAAGATATGAAATTTTTTGTTAAATGGTTGATGAGATGGGGACTTGTAGAAGTTCCAAATTGCTTATTCATGCTGTTCGGGCTGTTGGTTCAATAAGCAATGAGAATTGGGAACTCAAATTAAGGCATTTGAAAAATTTAGAATTGAGATTGTAATTTGTACTTTATTTTTCTTTTCTTTTCTTTTCTTTTTTTATTTAAATAAGAAGGTATATTGGTCATTTTACGTTAAATATTGGTGAAAATGATATTTTTCGCAATGAAAAATGAAAATGCCAAAAAATAAAAGATCAAAGACCTTTACACAATAACATTGAAATGTATGTACGTTTTGTGCTAATTACCTTTTGCCCCAAACTCGAAGTGGTAACTCTATTTTGAATTTAATGGGTATGTTGTGTTTGGTTGAGCTGGACAATCCACTTGTGCATTTGGTGTGTGATTTAATAGCTTCCACTTAGACAGAATTATGGACGGTATCCACTCGGTGATTGATAGAATGTAATAGAATTAAGTTCAGGGCCAATGAGAAGCTTTCTAAAGTTGGATATTTAACTCCAATTAAGGAGGTAAAAATATAATTTTAATAAAAATTTAACAAATCTGTGAGAATGTATAAAATCCATAAAAATTTTCGAAATCGGAATTCATTCAAATTTTATGGATTATGGTAAATTCTATTAAATTCCGTAAAAATCATTAGAATATACATAAATCTGTTTAAATTCTGAGTACTAGCCCTTCGTCGGCCCCAGTTCGTCTTAGTGCTGTCAATGGATTGGATTTTGATCAGAATCCGATAAATTAACGAGAAATAGATTTAGGATCTCAATCCGATAATCCGATTGAGATCCGAATCCGATAATCCATTAATTAAATGATTCAAATATGGATATAGGTCAATCAAATCCAATAACAACCCAATCCGATTTGTTATAATAATATATTATATTTTTATATTATCGCATAATTTACAACACAGTTTTTTTCATTTTGAAAATTGTATTATACTTTACATGTAATTTTTAAATAATAAATAATAGTATATAATAGTATAATATGCAAATTTTGAAGGGATTTAATTTTTTTATTAATTAAAATAAGATTAAAATAATAATTAATTAATTAATTAATTAAACTTATTATAGTAATTTCCTTTATAACATAAAAACTAACAATTAATTAATCCAAAATAATTTACTTTGTTCAAATTGATATTGTTTATAATTATAATCTTATTGAGGCTGTGATTTTTTATGAAAATAATAAAGTAAAATAGTAAACAGTTAGAATTGATAAATGATTATAATTAGTATCCCACATTGAAAGATCACTAAATCATTCGAAGAGGAGATTTTTTTTTAAAAACTAAATATTCCACATTGAAATATCCTTAAGGGTGTGTTTGATTACATTTATTTTCTATGGAAAATATTGGTTTTCCATCCAAATTTTCACTTGGAGTGTTTGATTGCTATTTTTTTCCACGGAAAACATTTTCCAACTTTTGAAAATATGCCTAATTTTCCTTGTTTTTAAGGAAAATATTTTCCTTGGATAGAGGTGGTTTTTATTTTTCACAAAAGATGGAAAATATTTTCTTTTCTAGGTAATATTTTCCATGTCAATCAAACACACTCTAAAATATTTCAAGAGGAATCTCTTTTAAAAAAAAGCATCACTTGGATACAAAATTGATTTGAACCTTCTAATATAATAAATGAACCCATCAAGATGGTTCAAATATTTTTAAAATAAATAATTAATTAAAATCTGTTGTGGATATGATTTTTAATAAAAATAAATAAATAAGATTTTTATTTTTTTAAATTTTTTCAATTTCGAATCAGGTTATCGAATCGAATATCCGATAACATAGTTAATCGAATTTGGATTTAACATTATTATCTGATCAGATCGAGTCGGATAATTATTTTTAACGAATCGAATCGAATTTGAACAAATTCGATCCATATCTGATCCATTGAGAGTCCTAATTCGTGTGAGCCCATAACACACTAAGGGTTTGCGGTGGTGCGTTTTTCTTCCCACGCCCAAGAACCCTAGATCCTAAACGCACGAGAATTTTTTTCTTGAGAGAATCCAATTGTAGAAGCTTTACTGAATCATCGTCCAAGGTTCAACATATATGATTCATAGAGGTAATCCACAATACTTCAAAGATAATGGCTATGTATTTATGCAAAAGTAGCCCGTTATTCCCCTACAAATCCCATTTTTCTTTCTCACTTTCTCTCCTTTATTCCTCTTCCTCGACCGAAAAGAAAGTGAAAACTGATCTTACAGTGTATGATTTCCTACTACACAAACACCAATTTTCTCCTGAAACAGCTTCACAAGTTGCCTCTGTTTTAAACCGTATAAAGAATCCAGAAAAATCTGATTCAATATTATCATTCCTCAAGGAGAGTGGTTTTTCAAAGAGTCAATTGGAGAAAGTCGTGAAAACTAAGCCTGGTTTGCTTGCTGCAAGTCTTGAGAATACCATCATGCCTAAATTCAAGATTTTCCAAGATTTGGGCTTTTCTGCCGAAGACGTTGCTGAGATTATCTCAAGCGATCCGGCAAATTTGCATCGAAGTGCAGATAGTAGGGTCAGACCGTCATTATCAGTTTTGAAGAGATTATTGGGATCTAGTGCAGAGGTAACTAAGGTTTTAAAGATTTCTGGGTGGTACTTGAAAAAAGATTTGGAGAAGATTATGGTACCTAATATTGAATTTTTAAAGAGTTGTGGTGTAGGCATGGAGCAAATAATAAAGAAAATGTATAATTTTCCAAGGTTTCTCATGTGTAGTCCAGAAAATATGAAAATTTTTGTTAAAATGGTTGATGAGATGGGGACTTGTAGAAGTTCCAAATTGTTTATTCATGCTGTTCGGGTTGTTGGTTCAATGAGCAACGAGAATTGGGAACTCAAGTTAAGGCATTTTAGGAATTTGGGGTTTTCGGAAGATGATATTCTGAAAATGTTTCAAAAGGCTCCTCAGGTATTTTCTGTATCACAGAGGAAGATGAGTAAGGTAGTAGAGCTTTTACTTGCAACCGGGAAGTATGATCTTTCATGTATTGTTAACTGTCCAATATCATTGACTTGCAGTGTTGAAAAGAAGATTAAGCCCAGAATGCAAGTTTTAGGAGTTTTGGAGAGTAAGAATTTGATTGGAAAGTGGCCTCGTCTTTCAACTATTACTACAATCCCAGATAGCAAGTTTGTGAAGAAATTTGTTCAGCCTTATTTAAATGAAGTCGGAGAAATATATATGGTGAGTAGTGCTCTCAAAAGAAAAAGAATTGTGGAGTCAAAATGACTGTAGATGCCTATATATATCATACTATGTTTCAAACACAGGTGAAGTGGGAGGCTTGTGTACATTGACGGCCAAATTGTCATTAAATTTCTCTGGGGCATCTGGAAAACGATAATTGAATGGAATGGAGTCAAATTTATTTTGATGGTTGATGGTGTGAAGTCTTATGGAATCTGGTTAAAAATGAATTGGTACTTTTCCTATTCACATTTCCTTGTATCTATTTTGTATTCCTGGTTTTCAATAGATGGTTTCAAATGAATAAAGCCATCCTTATCGAGTAAGGTACCATCGCGTATATAATGCTATTATTAACAACTATCTGTATGGATACATTTTTTTTATTTATAGTCTTTACGCTTGTACAAATGCACATATAAGAATCTTCAGTGGACTTGAGAGCAAGAACTGTTCATGTAGGAGTTGATAGCTAAGTGGCATACCATGTTCTCATGTGATAGAAAGTTTTGCTTTCTTGGAAAATGGAGGCCCAACTGATGGACTATACAAAAAGCAGCTGACATTACAACATATTCATATATCATCTCTCCCATGAGAAGCCCTGAGTTGTGCAGTAATCCAGGCCAAGTTCCTCTAACACTACCCATCCAAACCAAGGCTGAGGCTAGAAGATCAAAGAGAGCTAGTATAAAGGGACCGTTGAACAGCAATATCGCACGGTAAGCCACATACAAGTAATACAAGCAAGTGTAGATTAAAAAGCAGCAGGTCACAACAAGAGAACCAGCACATATTCAGCTCAAAATGCCTAAATTAGTTTTGAGTTGTCCTTTGCGCTTTTTGACTTCCTACATTGATGGATATGGATGCAGGTGTTGATGCACTAAGTTAGAATTTGTTTTGTCAAAAAACATGTTAGGTAATTGTATTGATATGAAGTGCTTTATGATCACATGTGAAGTAGCATTTTTTAGATAACTGTTTACTAATGTTTACACATTTCAATAGATATGAATCTTGTCAAATACTCGCAATGGTAGGGAAATTGCATTCATCTTCTTCAGATGGTTTTTTACAGCAATTAGAGTGAAAATTGAAGCTTCACCAAGCTTCATTGACATAAACAGACCTCAATTAATTTAATCTAACATACCCAACATTACTTTACGACGTACAACAACATACCCAACATTACTTTACGACGTACAACAACATTACAAGAAGAAATTTCAAGGCCACATATACAAGATCTTGGTTGAAATAACTCCACTAACAAAAGTCAAAGCACTAGCAAGTTTTTCGCTTGTTCTTGGTATTCAATCATGAGCTTCATCCTAAAGTTCTTAACTTGTTCTTCACCTTTCAATCTTTAAGAAAATGAAACTCTTAATTTATAACTTGCTTATAAGAAATAAACATCTACCTTCAATTCTTTGAGTTGAGTATGAAACGTCTAAGAGTAAAGCGAACATAAAACTAAAGAGAACTCTTTTTTATTTCACATTTATGAAATACTGCAGCTTCTCATACCATAAATTTCCAACAGCGCATTCCAGGATGATTGATCCTAACCCGGAATAAACACATTTCCAGAAAGATTGCATCTAAGTATATAGCCATAGCTCAATTAAAAGAAAACAAAAAAAGAAAGCATGTAAACCACGGTCACGCTCCTTCCCAAACTCAATATTCGACTCTTTCAAGCACCAATTTCTTCTTAATAGTTTAAAAATCTCTATTTGTTTCAATTACTCCTTGTTTATGATCGTGCAAAAGGGCATGTTCAAACTAGGACAATGTTTGGTGAGGATTAAAATTAAATTTTTCATAAATTTTAATAAAAGAATTTCAAATGTGTGGTTGAAAAATTGTGGGACTCATAAAAGATATGATTGATATTAATTGTTTTACTTTAACTTAAATTAAAATCAGATTTTAATTTAAAACAAACATGCTCTAGAGTCGAGTTCCTCCATAATTTTTGTCATGACCATGTCAACTTTCTTGGACTTTGGATAATTTCCTTTATCTTGGTGCTATTCAGGTGACCCATTTGAGCATTGCTCGTCGTTATCCACTCACCAGTGAAGATGACACCGTTCAATTACGACAAAGCAAGATTTTTTCCCCCTTTTTTGGTTAGCTTCAAAAATTTTATGAGGATTTGCAAAAAAATAATTCGAGCGAAAGTTTTCCATATTGGGGGGGTGCTAATTTTGCAATTAATTATTAATTCATTTTAACTTGTCATTTATCAAGTTTAAATATGATTAATTTTGGGTGCTCAAGTATTTCCACAAAAAGATAGTTCCGCAATTCTCATGACATAATTACCACATCTTTGGCATCTTGACGTCTTGCATGATAAAGAATGGTTCATATCGAATAGAAATAACTACAATGAATGTGCCCCCCAGGGTACATCCGAGTTGGTTGAACAATCACTTCGCTGGGACGTTGGAAGCAAGGGTGGAGAGTTCGATTCCTGGAGTTAACACTGGGAGCCATATGGAGAGAACACCCAGTGAGGAGAGCTCTCTTTGCGGAAGGAGTTCAAATGAGTTGTGGGAACTTGGGAGCCAACAAGGGCACATCCTGCGATTTACCTCCCTGAGCAGCTGAGGGGCCGGAGGTTCAGGGACAAGGATCTAGTCGG